AGCAGCTCTCCAGACTGAGGGCTGACCATGTGTTTTTTACAGTGGCCTAACAGGTATTCTACTATGTGGGGGGGGGGGGGGGGTTGTTGTCTTGCTCAACGACAGGAGATCGTACATGGGATCAGAGTTAATAATAATAATATTAATAAGCCATTTAGCCGACGCTTTTATCCAAAGCAACTTAGTCATGCGTGCATACATTTTTGTGTATGGGGTGGTCCAGGGGATCGAACCCACTACCCTGGCGTTACAAGCGCCGTGCTCTACCAGCTGAGCTACAGAGGACCACAGAGTTGATACCACATTACGCTGACTTTTCTATACAGCGCCCTCTGTAATTATTGGGACAGTGACACATTTTGTTGTTGTTTTGGCTCTGTACTCCAACACATGATGAAATGAGTGAGAAGGTTACAGATGCACAAATATCATACCCCCAAGACATGCTAACCTCTCACCCATTACCATAACAGGGGAGGTTAGCATTTATTGGGGGGGGTATGATATTTGTGCGTCTAACTTTCTCGCTCATCATTATTCACAATTAATTCAGGACTATCCGTAACCATGGTAGCATCCACATTTAATGTAGAAGTGTTTAGAAAACATATTCTATTCTTATTTTAGATTTAAAGGTGACTCCAAAATGACACAATACATTATTTACCATTCATTTCTATTGGGCACAAAATGATCTGAAACACAACCAAAACAAACAGCAAATGCATCCAACAAGTTTGTAAAGCTTGATGTATTCATTGCGTGATAGGAATATGGGACCAAATACAACACTTTTGACTACTTTAATACACATATACAGTAAGTGAATTTGTCCCAATACTTTTGGTCCCCTAAAATGGGGGGGACTATGGACAAAAAGTAATTTCTAAACGGTTCATCCGATATGGAATGGAAATACACTCAAATTAAAGCTGACAGTCTGCACTTTAAGATCATAGTCATTGTATAATTTCAAATCCAAAGTGCTGGAGTACAGAGCCAAAACAACAACATATGTGTCACTGTCCCAATAATTACGGAGGGCGCCGTATGTACGTAGAGACGCCGCCAATTGTTGGTAATGGAAATGTGGCTTAAAAGTCATGGAAAAGTCATGAAATTCCATCTGTCAAACTGTGCATGAACCTTGCCGTGACAAACCTCTGTACTGGCACTGGTCTCAGCTTGGCATTATTCACCCCCTAGTCCTTGTCAGTGACAGCAGAATCAACATGTCTGTCTGTGTTTCTGTACCTGCTCAGGGTCGGGCAGGGAGAAAGGCAGAGGGAGAGGCTGCTCTCTCCAGTCCCAGGCCCAGGCCCGCTCCAACTCCCGACCAAAGGAACAGGGGGAGGAAGGAGAGGCAGAGAGACGAGAGGAGGAAAAGACGACTCTGCTGGAGAAGTGTACCCCTCACCTCAGGAGTATCTTTACCCACTGGGAGCCGGTCTCCCCTGCCTGTCCCCCCCTCTGACCCCCGAACCCCGACCTCCACCCCCCTGGCCAACACCACAGCCCACCTTCTCACCGGGTGGGTCCTGAGCTCCTTGGTAGAGGGATCCTCCACCTACGAGGACAAAAGGACAGTCCACTTCCTCCGCTGGTTCCAGAAGACTGTCCTGCCTCACAGAGACATAGTGGACATGGTGGTGGCTGACCCTGTTATGAGACTGGACCTGCTCAGGCTCTACCACCAGGTCTGTGAGCCCCAGGCCCAGCCCCAGGGCCAGCCCTCTTCCTGGGTAGAGCACGTCCAGCTGTTCACCAACGTTATGACCCAGCTCCTGGAGGCCAGAGGCTGCGCTGAGAGTGACCTGCACAGGGCCGTGCTCACCGCATGCGGCCTAGGAACACCATGTAATGACCAGACCACGAAGGGTAAGAGAGTTTATTTTACCGTAACAGGGGAAATTGCAGTGGTTTGAAAAATAACATAAGATATAGCTACAAATTCCCAGGAAAAAAACAAGAGTTACATTGAAACCGGTTTGCGTCACTTGTGTTGCTTTGGTCGTGTAAAAGGAAATGGCACATCTCATACGCTGTTGTTGTTCCTCTCCTCTCCTCCAGAAGGTCTGACGCTGCTGTCTCTGTACGTCCATGAGATATGGAGCGGAGCGAAGAGCCCAGAGGTGTTCCTGAGCCATGTCAGACTGGTGAATGAGATCCAGGGTTCTATGGGGACCGAGCGACAGAAGTCCAAACGACGCACCCAGACGCACACGGCCCTCGGGACCATCTGTAGTAACCTCCTCTCAGGACTGCAGTCTACTGTTGCACCAATAGGAGTTACAGAGTTGTGTCCCTAATGACACCCTAGTTAGGACACTACTTTTTGACCGGGGGCCTCTGGTCAAAAAGTAGTGAACTACACTGAGTGTACAAATCATTAAGAACACCAGCTCTTTCCATGACATAGACTGGCCAGGCGAAAGCTATGATTCCTTATTGGATGTCACTTGTTAAATCCACTTAAAATCAGTGTAGATGAACGAGAGGAGACAGGTTAAAGAAGGATTTTTAAGCCTTGAGACATGGATTGTGTATGTGTGCCATTCAGAGGGTGAATGGGCAAGACAAAATATTTAAGTGCCTTTGAATGGGGTATGGTAGTAGGTGCCAGGTGCACCGGTTTGTAACACTGTTGGGTTTTTCACGCTCAACAGTTTCCCGTGTGTATCAAGAATGGTCCACCACCCAAAGGACATCCAGCCAACTGTGGGAAGCATTGGAGTCATCATGGGCCAGTATCCCTGTGGAACACTTTCGACACCTTTTAGAGTCCATGTCCCGAAGGAATTGAGGCTGTTCTGATGGCAAAAGGGGGTGCAACTCAATATTAGGAAGGTGTGTTTTGTACACTCAGTGTATATGGGGAATAGAGAACAGTTCCATACAGAGTTGAGATAAGTGTGCACAACTCAGTTTCGTGCAAATCATTAATTTACGTCAGTGAGAGACAGAGGAAATTTGTGTGGATCTCAAGTCAGAATACAGCCATGTATGCGTACTTGTACACATTTGAAAAAACGGTGTTCACTCATAAAATGGAGGCCTCATTATTTTGCATCTGAATTTTCTAAAAGAGGTTGTGTGTTTTGTATGTAAATCATTAAATGAATTTAATTTTTTTTGTTCATCTTCTGTTCAAAACATTCACTTCTCTTTTATAAAATGTTGTAAAACTATTTTGGTGTGGTCTTGTATTTGAATATAAACATATGAATCCCACTTTTGTAACCAGGTTATTACATTGTAGGTAGTCAATAATAATAATAATAATAATAATAATATGCCATTTAGCAGACGCTTTTATCCAAAGCGACTTACAGTCATGCGTGCATACATTTTTACGTATGGGTGGTCCCGGGGATCGAACCCACTACCCTGGTGTTACAAGCGCCGTGCTCTACAATGTTACAAACAGCTGCTTATAATAGTTATGAAGAGTTCACAACTTCCAACAGACCATATCAGACCCAAATGCAATATCCTGCCAATGTGTCCTTGAGGCCCTGGCTGCCCTCTGCTCCAACCTGTGTGTATGTACACTACCGGTCAAAAGTTTTAGAACACCTACTCATTCAAGGGTTTTTCTTTTATTTTTACTATTTTCTACATTGTAGAATAATAGCGAAGACATCAAAAACTATGAAATAACACATATGGAATCATGTAGTAACCAAAAAAGTGTTAAACAAATCAAAATGCCTTGATGACAGCTTTGCACACTTTTGGCATTCTCTCAACCAGCTTCACCTGGAATGCTTTTCCAACAGTCTTGAAGGAGTTCCCACATATGCTGAGCACTTGTTGGCTGCTTTTCCTTCACTCTGCGGTTTGACTCATCCCAAACCATCTCAATTTGGTTGAGGTCGGGGGATTGTGGAGGCCAGGTCATCTGATGCAGCACTCCATCACTCTCCTTGGTAAAATAGCCCTTACGCAGCCTGGAGGTGTGTTGGGTCATTGTCCTGCTGAAAAACAAATGATCGTCCCACTAAACCCAAACCAGATGGGATGGCGTATCGCTGCAGAAGGCTGTGGTAGCCATGCTGGTTAAGTGTGCCTTGAATTCTAAATAAATCACAGACAGTGTCACCAGCAAAGCACCCCCACACCATAACACCTCCTCCTCCATGCTTTACGGTGGGAACTACACATGCGGAGATCATCCGTTCACCCACACCGCGTCTCACAAAGACACGGCGGTTGGAACCAAAAATCTCCAATTTGGACCCCAGACCAAAGGACAGATTTCCACCGGTCTAATGCCCATTGCTCGTGTTTCTTGGCCCAAGCAAGTCTCTTCTTATTATTGACGTCCTTTAGAAGTGGTTTCTTTGCAGCAATTCGACCATGAAGGCCTGATACACACAGTCTCCTCTGAACAGTTGATGTTGAGATGTGTCTGTTACTTGAACTCTGTGAAGCATTTATTTGGGCTGCAATTTCTGAGGCTGGTAACTCTAATGAACTTATCCTCTGTAGCAGAGGTAACTCTGGGTCTTCCTTTCCTGTGGCGGTCCTCATGAGAGCCAGTTTCATCATAGCGCCTGATGGTTTTTGCGACTGCACATGAAGAAACTTTCAATTTTCCGTATTGACTGACCTTCATGTCTTGAAGTAATGATGGACTGTCATTTATCTTTGCTTATTTGAGCTGTTCTTGCCATAATATGGACTTGGTCTTTTACCAAATAGGGCTATCTTCTGTATACCCCCCCCCCCCCCCCCACATTGTCACAACACAACTGATTGGCTCAAACGCATTAAGAAGGAAAGAAATTCCACAAATTAACTTTTAAGAAGGCACACCTGTTGATTGAAATGCATTCCAGGTGACTACCTCATGAAGCTGGTTGAGAGAATGCCAAGTGTGTGCCAAGTTGTCATCAAGGCAAAGGGTAGCTACTTTGAAGAATCTCAAATATAAAATAGATTTTGATTTGTTTAACACTTTTTTGGTTACTACATGATTCCTTATGTGTTATTTCATAGTTTTGATGTCTTCACTATTATTCTACAATGTAAAAAATAGTAAAAATAAAGAAAAACCCTTGAATGAGTAGGTGTTCTAAAACTTTTGACTGGTAGTGTGTGTCTTTCAGAGGGGTTGGGATAAAGCAGAAGGATTCTCCATCAGAGTAGTGTGTGTCTTTCAGAGGGGTTGGGATAAAGCAGAAGGATTCTCCATCAGGCAGAATTGGATCTAGGGTCCCTCCACGATTTCTTGGACTTTTTGGAGCTGTGAGCTCTGCACAGAAAAATACAATAAATAGCATTAAACAAGTGCAAGTAGGAAACTCTTTGGTTTTCCCATCAGTGAGTCCTAGCAATTAGCTTTATCACCCTTTCAGATTCAGAGCATCATAACGTCTGTCTGTAAAACATGACCTGAAATACACTGTACTGAGGAACTTGATGGAATGAGACTCAAAGGAACACTTACTTGGGTAGATTGACTGAACGGGACATGAAAGTCAAAATGACAAACAGGAATCCCACAAAAGCAGCCAGACTGATCCAGAATATGATCACTATCAAGTCTGAAAGGTGTAGAAGAGGGACAATGTTAGTTAGTATTGCTGCGTTACACTAAGTATTTGTCCCAAATGGCTTCCTAAACCCTATATAGTGCACTACTTTTGACCAGTATAGTTTGCTACTTATGGACCCTGGTCAAAAGTAGTGCACTATATAGGGAATATGGGGCCATTCGGGACGCGCTGCTGCACACTAAGAGACGATGGTAAAATAAAGCCTTTTCAATACTCACACTTGTTATATTTCAGTTTGCGCTCGTCCACTGGTATTGGGTCTAGGTAATCGTAGTAATATTCCCACTCGTATCTCCACGAGTCCTGTGAGGAGTTAGTGGAGTTCGTCATCCTCATGGTCAGTAGTGTGGGAATGCCTTTTCTTTCAAAGATTTATGGTGCTCTCTCCCTCCCTCGCGCCTGCCCTCTCTCCCTCTCTCTCTCTCTCTCTCTCAATTCAATTTAAGGGGCATTCTTGGCATGGGAAACATATGTTTACATTGGCAAAGCAAGTGAAATGGATAATAAACTAAAGTGAAATAAACAATAAATAGGAAAATAACAGTAGACATTAAACTCACACAAGTTCCAAAAGGATAAAGACATTTCAAATTTCATATTATGTCTATATACAGTGTTGTAACGATCTCTCTCTCTCTCTCAAACCGAGATCATGATAAAACATAAAAAAAACAAGGGACTGTTATGTATCGATCAGATCTCAACTTTTCATAAAAAGTAAAACCATGGGTGGCTCATAGAAATAGATTCTAGATTATATTTATATGGGGTGGTTTAGCTTGGGTTTGTGAAGTGGTCCTCTGTAGCTCAATTGGTAGAGCATGGCACTTGTAACGCCAGGGTAGTGGGTTCGATCCCCGGGACCACCCATACGTAAATATGTATGCGCACATGACTGTAAGTCGCTTTGGATAAAAGCGTCTGCTAAATGGCATATTATTATATATTATAAGTGTCATTTAATTTTCAATTTTTCTTTGTACAGATTTCTTGTGTTGTTGTCGGCTAACCTTGAAATCCACATCGATCTTTATGATTAGAATAATTGAGTTTACTGTAAATTATCAATTTATCATCACCATTCTCAATTTGTGATAAACTCTTGTTGAATATTTTGCTGACCCCACTGCTCACCCCTGTGGGGTGTCATTGCAGCAATCCCGTCCTCTTCTAGTCTCTCTCGCGAGAATTTGGTTCTGTGTTCCAAGACGTTTTTCCCTCTGAAATGTTTTGGCCACAGATAGAACAATGCACCAGATATTTCATCGGATGTATAAATGTGAAGCATCCGGTTGGCGTTTTCACTCACTACCAAATATGGTGGTGAGAGGAAGCCCAGTGGCCGACAGCGGGAGATGGAGCGAAATTGATTTTGGCCGATATTCTGCTAATTTTCTCATCGATTAAACATTTGATCTCCATACAGTTTTCTGTTTCTAAAATTAGAATCTGTAACAAACCGAGTGGACTGCGTTTTGTAGAATTTACCCCTTTGCCAAAGTTTCAAAAAAAATTGCGTTGTTTAGGAGTGCAGGGGCGAATTGAGTTATTTTACACGCCCGCTTCATAGGGTAGGCGTTCCCTAACGGAAATATGCAAATAAATGATACAACGCGCCAATAGGATCTCACTAGCTCGTGCTTGGCCCCGCTCACTTCCTTGCTTGGCTCTGCCCACTATGCTTCATTTGCTCCCGTTGGAAACGACAGGCTGTGGTCTATCTTGGGTTAGTTATAAATATCTTTGTTTTGGCCATACCTGTTATCGACAAGCGGATACACGGGGTAGCAACGAGAGCGGATGTTTGCTACGCTACGAATATATAAACATAGCTAGCTAGCTAAGTCACCAAGTATTATTCACTGAAAAGGATAATTTATCGGCACGTCAACAAATAAGTATGGATTCCGTCAACGCTTTCAACTTGGAGGTAAAACATGAAGCTGTCTTTGTAGCTGTCGGTTTCGGTTAGCTAACTACGTCGCTATCAAGCCAGCTAACCCAGAGGCAGAGATATCTCTGCTGGCTAACCAAGTGTCGGTGTAGCTAGCTAGTTATCTGGCCAAATATGTCCTAATTTAGCCAACTGTGTACCATGTTACTAAAACGATCTAGCCCACTAGAAGGACAATGTTTTAATTTAATAGCAAATCATACGTTAACTAGCTGCTACCCACTTGTGACCTTTCCAATCAACAACTCAAACATGGCTACCCAGCTAGCTAGCTAAAAGCTATCATGCCAGATGGCGAACTTTGTTTTTTCTTGTTCACCTAAGATGGAGCATCAGCCTCAGAGTATTGTTGCTGGTCTCCCATCATTAATGCACACACCATGCCAGAAACAGCTGAGATAATGTGAACATTATTGCAATGCCAGATTTCTGTTATTTGGGTTGATAGGGCCGGCCTGTATTAGCCAATGGTTCCTAATTGAGCGAACTAACTAGTTGGCTACAGTAGCTAGTTAACTGCTATGTGGTGGTTTCGTTAAAGGAAGTGCAGTACATGGTTATGTAACTATAAGCTTGGTAACGTTAGTTGGCCAGTTTTATATGTACAAAATTATTTGTCTAAATAAAAACTATTTGTGAATATAACTGAAGTGTTGTGGGGTAACTAGCGTTATTCTAGGTAAGTAGCTGTTTTCCTCTTGCAGGTGATTTATAGTAGCCAGTTAGATTCCTGGTAACAGTTACTTTTTAAGCCTTCTAAAATATGGCAGCATGACTTTTCATCATTCTCCATGTTGTACATGTTTGCCTGTACATGCACCATGTGTTCAAATGTAGATGCATCAGTGTTTTTTCAATTAACGTTATCTGTCTACCCTCACTCCCTCAGCTTTGGTGTAACCGTGCTTGTAATATAAAACACAAAATGTGAATTTTGGATGATTTAATGTGGACCGGATTAGATGACCTTGTTTAGGTGCTAGCTAAAGCTATTCTTCGTTTTCTTCTAACTGAAGTTATTCGCCATGATTGACATGAAGCCTCCGATATCACGAGCAAAGATGATGTCAGTCACTAAATCAGCAATAAAGGCTATCAAGGTAGGTTAGAGCAACGTGTGTGTGACCCTGTGTATACTGTATATAAGGAGCACTGTACTGTTAACTTATCAGATGAGTGTCTCATTGAAAATGAAATACTGGTGAAGTAATTTTTCTGATGCTTTTAATGTGACCTTGTATAAATTCACACCATGAAACATTTTTAATCTTGTTTCCGTTTCATGTCCCCTCTCAGCTATACAAGCATGTCGTCCAGATTGTGGAGAAGTTCATCAAGAAGGTAAGTCATGGGAAAAACAACCCATGGAACTATTATCAAGAGTGGTTGGCTTTGCTTTCAGACAATGCCAATAGCCTGAAAGTGACCGCATGCTGCCCATCCGGAACAGTTACTGCATATTTTGTGACGTGTTTTGTTTTGTTTTGGTATTTAGTAAAGTAATTGTTTTGGCTGTTTTCGCGCGCACGTTTTTTCTCTCGAGGCAAGCCGAAGTCTACGCCCCTTCGTCAGTGATTGGTCAACAGTAGGGATTCTTAATGAAGTGATTGACATTCAACGAGAAACAAATGTTTCATTCACATGTATTCACTTGAAATACCGCACAAAACATCTTAGTTGGATGTAAAATTGCGCGATTAAGATCTCCTCTGCAAAAATGTAAACTAATTACATATTTCTTGAGTTGTCTTCGATTAATTCTGACTATTTTGAGGAAGTGTATACTGGCTATGGCATCTCAAGATGGACAAACAGTACTATTGCTGCTTTTTTTCTTATTTTTCAAGCGAGTATGCAAGCAAACTCATTCGGTTTGCCTATAGGCATCAGCCGAACCAAAGCATGTAGAAGGCTTTAGTCTTGGAAACCATAAAACAAAATCAAAAGTTTTTACCCTTTTATAAAATGGTTATAAAACATTTAATGTTTTTACCCTTATTGTAATTTGTAGACCAATGATAAGGTGAAATACCAGTGATAATACAATCTGAGACCTCTTCCTCCAGTGTAAGCCAGAGCTGAAGGTTCCCGGCCTATACGTGGTGGACTCCATAGTCCGACAGTCACGACACCAGTTTGGAGTGGACAAGGACGTCTATGGACCCAGGTTCCAAAAGAACTTCACCCCGACCTTCCAGAACCTCTACCTCTGTCCACACGATGACAAGGTAGGGTTATTACTGTAGATGTTTCTTTATTGGTGTTTCACCAAGGCAGGGACACACATTTTTAGATTCTAGCACTAAATCAAATCAAATCAAATTTATTGTCAAATCCAAATCATGGTGATTGGTTCAGTAACCGTATTGATCAGGATGATTGCTTTCAGCTTAACCGTATGACATGGATTGTTCAGTTATCCTATTGAACAGGATATGTGTCAGTTAATCATAGTGAATCGGAGATGTATCAGTAGTCATAGTTGAACAATGATTAGTTGGACATCAGAGAATGTGAGGATCCTATTGAGTCAAAAAAATATATCAGACAGTGAGATATAGAAAACCTGCAGAGGGAGCCATCCAATGACAGTGTCCTATTGGAATCCGAGTTAGAAGAATGAATGTGGACAAGATGGGGACGGTGTTGGAATGGAATTACAGTAATGAAATGTACGTTAGCCAGTATAAATGAATGTATATAAGACAAAATTCACAAATTTACACAACGCAGAGTCTGCGAAGTTAAAACTACAGACTCAATAATTATGCCTGGGATGCTAAAAGTCAAAAGTATGGGGGAGTTAATAGCGTCAGAAGGTACAATGATTAGTTCCTTTAATCCATTGTCTGTGTAGCCGGCGCGGTCTGCTCGTTGCCGACCACTGCGTTGTGTTCCGGTGCACTGAAGACAAGACACTGGCGTACTTGAAGGCACTTTATTGTGTACAACTCTCTCAATCTGTTCAACATCAAGGAGAGAATTTTCAAAACTCTACCCTCGACCAGAATCCGCCTCTCTCAGTCGAGTAGAATGCAGACTCAGTATAATCACATTCAAAAATCCAAGGAATAAATACAACATAATTGGAAAATAAACATCGCATCTGGTGTATATCTTATGTATGTGTCATATTGCATGTTATCTCTGCCAAAAACTCTGAGCTTTTAGCCTTTACATTAATACTGTGCAACATGACATAAACCATCTTTCAAATAGGTAATACATACAGTAATATGCACGAAGCAACATGTAATCCTTCACATTTGAACTTTTCAGTGCCATTAAACACTAATCAATACATGAAAACATTTTAAATGAACACATATTTTTAACCTGATATAGGGAATACATACCTGTTCAACATCAAGGAGAGAATGTTCAAAACTCTACCCTCGACCAGAATCCGCCTAACATTTAAAAAAAAACTGAAACGTGGGCTTCAACACAAGAGGATAGAATGACGATCGCTAACTTACAGCTAAACAAAACACGAGGTTAGCTAAGTTAGCAATTTCTCAAACTCTCAAAAATAGCTAAATTCACGACACAGCTTGATTAAAGTACGTACACTCATCATATAATATACATACAAGTTACTATGTGCACTGAAACGTTTTAGTTTTAACAGGTATATCAAGTTTATATCACGCCGAAGTGAACACATACCTCTCTCAGTCGAGTAGAATGCAGACTGAGAAAAGCATGAGACAACTCCGCATATAACCAAACCAACACTCTAGAGGGCGCACTTACACAACTAACTCTCCCAATATCTGTAAACTACACGAAATGCTGAACAATACAATATTTTGGTGAAATCAACTCACAAAATAAAAAGGCGGTGTTGATGCAACCCAGTTCAGGATTGCTCTCGATGGTGCAGCTGTAGAATTTTTGAGGATTTGAGGACCCTGCCAAATTTTTTAGTCTCCGGAGGGGGGAATAGGCTTGTCGTGCCCTCGTCACGACTGTCTTGGTGGTTTGGACCATGATAGTTCGTTGGTGATGTGGACACCAAGGAACTGAAGCTCTCAAACTGTTCCACTACAGCCCCGTCGATGAGAATGGGGCGTGCTCAGTCCTCTTTTTTTTCTGTAGTCCACAATCATTTCCTTTGTCTTGGTCACGTTGAGGGAGAGGTTGTTGTCTGGCACCAAACGGCCAGATCTCTGACCTCTCCCTATAGGCTGTCTCATCGTGTCGGTGATCAGGCCTACCACTTTTGTGTAGTCGGCAAACTTAATTGGAGTCGTGCCTGGCCATGCAGTCATGGGTGAACAGAGAGTACAGGAGGGGACTGAGCACGCACCCCTGAGGGGCCCCCGTGTTGAGGATCAGTGTGGCAGATGTGTTGTTACCTACCCTTACCACCTGGGGGCGGCCCGTCAGGAAGTCCAGGATCCAGTTGCAGAGGGAGGTGTTTAGTCCCAGGATCCTTAGCTTAGTGATGAGCTTAGAGGGCACTATGGTGTTGAATGCTGAGCTGTAGTCAATGAATAGCATTCTCACGTAGGTGTTCCTCTTGTCCAGGTGGGAAAGGGCAGTGTGGAGTGCAATAGAGATTGCATCATCTGTGGATCTGTTGGGGCGGTATGCAAATTGGAGTGGGTCTAGGGTTTCTGGGATAATGTTGTTGATGTGAGCCATGACCAGCCTTTCAAAGCACTTCATGGCTACAGACGTCAGTGCTACGGGTCGGTTAGTCATTTAGGCAGGTTATCTTAGAGTCCTTGGGCACGGGGACTATGGTGGTCTGCTTGAAACATGTTGGTATTACAGACTCAGTCAGGGACATGTTGAAAATGTCAGTGAAGACACTTGCCAGTTGGTCAGCACATGCTCGGAGTACACGTCCTGGTAATCCGTCTGGCCCTGCGGCCTTGTGAATGTTGACCTGCTTAAAAGTCTTACTCACATCGGCTATGGAGAGCGTGATCACACAGTCATCCGGAACAGCTGGTGCTCTCATGCATGCTTCAGTGTTGCTTGCCTCGAAGCGAGCATAGAAGTGGTTTAGCTCGTCTGGTAGGCTTGTGTCACTGGGCAGCTCGCGGCTGTGCTTCCCTTTGTAGTCTGTAATAGTTTTCAAGCCCTGCCACATCCGACGAGCGTCAGAGCCAGTGTAGTACGATTCAATCTTAGTCCTGTATTGACTCTTTGCCTGTTTGATGGTTCGTCGGAGGTCATAGTGGGATTTCTTATAAGCGTCCGGGTTAGAGTCCCGTTCCTTGAAAGCGGCAGCTCTACCCTTTAGCTCAGTGCGGATGTTTCCTGTAATCCATGGCTTCTGGTTGGGGTATGTACGTACGGTCGCTGTGGGGACGACATCATCGATACACTTATTGATGAAGCCAGTGACTGATGTGGTGTACTCCTCAATGCTGTCTGAAGAATCCCGGAACATGTTCCAGTCTGTGCTAGCAAAACAGTCCTGTAGCTTAGCATCTGCGTCATCTGACCACTTTTTTATTAACCGAGTCACTGGTGCTTCCTGCTTTAGTTTTAGCTTATAAGCAGGAATCAGGAGGATAGAGTTATGGTCAGATTTGCCAAATGGAGGGCGAGGGAGAGCTTTGTATGCGTCTCTGTGTGTGGAGTAAAGGTGGTCTAGAGTTTTTTTCCCTCTGGTTGCACATTTAACATGCTGGTAGAAATTAGGTAGAACGGATTTAAGTTTCCCTGCATTAAAGTCCCCGGCCACTAGGAGCGCTGCATCTGGATGAGCGTTTTCCTGTTGATTAATGGCCTTGTACAACTCATTCAGTGCAATCTTAATGCCAGCATTGGTTTGTGGTGGTAAATAGACAGCTATGAAAAATATAGATGAAAACTCTCTTGGTAAATAGTGTGGTCTACAGCTTATCATAAGATACTCTACCTCAGGCGAGCAAAACCTTGAGACTTCCTTAGTATTTGATTTTGTGCACCAGCTGTTGTTTACAAATATACACAGACCGCCACCCCTTGTCTTACCGGAGTCAGCCGTTCTGTCCTGCCGATGTAGCGTATAGCCTGCTAGCTGAATGTTATCATTGTCGTCGTTCAGCCACGACTCGGTGAAACATAATATATTACAGTTTTTAATGTCCCGTTGGTAGGATAACCGTAATCTTAAATCGTCCACTTTATTTTCAAAAGATTGAACGTTGGCTAATAGGATTGATGGAAGAGGCAGTTTACTCGCTCGCCGTCGGATCCTTACAAGGCACCCCGATCTCCGTCCCCGATATCTCCGTCTCTTCCTCACGCGAATGACGGGGATTTGGGCCTTGTCGGGTGTCTGTATGATATCCTTCGCGGCCGCCTCGTTGAAGAAAAAATCTTCGTCCAATACGAGGTGAGTAATCGCTGTCCTGATATCCAGAAGCTCTTTTTGGTTATAAGAGACTATGGCAGAAACATTATGTACAAAATAAATTACAAATAACGCGGAAAAACACACATAATAGTACAATTGGTTAGAGGGCTGTAAAACGGCAGCCATCTTCTCCGGCGCTGTTCTCTCAGACTACGGACACACTAATCCGTAGTTTAGTCATGGATGATTGTGTTCAGTAGTTTAGTCATGGATGATTGTGTTCAGTAGTTTAGTCATGGATGATTGTGTTCAGTCAATCCGTAGTTGAGTAATGGATGATTGTGTTCAGTTAATCCGTAGTTGAATCATGGATGATTTGAAGCTTTTGGACATCAGAGCAATGTTGAGGGAATCCTATTTGAGTCAGAAAAATGTACTCATATGATAGGTGAGATATAGAAAACCTTGCAGAGAGTCGATCCAACTGACAGTGTCCCCTATTGGAATCCAGAGTTAGAAAGAACTGAAATTGGCACAAGATGGAGGAGGTGTTGGAATGAAATTACAGTTAATGAAAATGTACGCTTAATCCAGTATAAATGAATGTATTATACAAGAAACAAAATTCACAAATTCTACAGCACAACGGTAGAGTCGTGTCTGAAGTTTAAAACTTAACAACGACTCAATAATTCATGCCTTCTGGGAGTGCTATAAAGTCCAGAAGTTATGGGCGGAGTTAGATAAACGGCTGTCAGAAGGATTACAATGTAAGTTTCCTTTTAATCCATCTGTCTGCATATTACAAGAGATGGCATAGGAGGGTGTGGTGAGATACCCGATGGGTTGGCCAATATTATTTTAATCACTTATATTGAAGAAGCTATTACATAAATATTGGAAGTCAAATGATACTCCAACATTTAAAGGGAAATTTTAAAAAATCGTCATCTTCAGCACCACCCCAACATCAACAGGAAGATAAGTGTTTCCAATGACCTCATCAACCAATTAGTAGGCAATGCCTACTGTTAGGTTCTGACAAACAGAGTGAAAAACTAACGGACAACTAGTCAAAGCTCAAACCAAGTTTATTCACCCAGTGGGGCTACAAAGACATGTTTCCACCAGCACAAGTATTTATACCCTCCTTTATGCGGAGTCTCCTCCTTGCACCTCTAAACACTACATCTTTGTTGCTAGGCAGGAAGCTAAGTGAAGTGTAATAAATGGCCAGCCAGGCGTCCCCGGGCCGGCGGGGCTTTGCCTTGGTGGCCTCTGGTACATTCTAATGTCTTGATTCCATCTGAAATACACAGCCAAATGATTGAATACTTTAACGACTTTACCTCCCAGATTGGAGAAATTAGTTGTGATTTTGTGTAGAAAGACTTTACAATTAAAATGACTGAAAACGTCTGAATTCAGTGCGTTGTTAGTTGTTCTGGATGTGGTCTAGGTCTAGGACTATACGATCAGGACTATATGATCTAAGTAAGAGAACATTAAACCTTTTTAACATTTAACCTGTCTTCTCTGGAGATTAAAGTCATATTTACAGTTTTACTGCAAGATATGAATTGCCACAATGATGTTTGTTCTTCAAATGATGTATTTTATTAAAACAGAGAAATGAATCAAATAACCCACATCGTCTTGAGAAATAAAATGTTAAGGTTTAGTTTTTCCAAGTTTCAGTTTTTTTTCATGTGTTTGCTCGCAAAATTACCCTTTTTCATAGAACGTGCAATGTTGTTGTTTTTCTAAGTCCCACAACAATGCTTAAACCACTTTTGAGGTCTGGGAAAAATCTGGGGAACTTTTGATTTTTGGATGTAGTTACCCTTTAATTCAAGTGCACGAGGCAGTTGTTTAGTGGTGTTTTTCATGATATCATTCTACCAGGTAAGCATAGGCTACTTTTGTAGTTAACGTTTTAATTGAGAAGGTTTTTGGGAAAGCCTTTCCATCTACCAGAAGACTGTTTTCATTAGCATCATCGCTAACGGCTACACAAAGTGGTAGACGAGTGCACTGCACACACACAGACGGGCGTTCTCATTGCCTCTTCAGAAAAGTCGCAGGAAATACAAATCACTGATGCGTTCTGTTCATGTCTTATGATTTAACTTGGGCAAATGTATTACTTTTCAATACATTTAGTTGATTCCCTACTAAAGTCAATACATTTTTTAATATTGTTGAATTCCGTTTTAATGCCTGGATTCCTTGAGTGCCCTGATGATCCTATCTGGACCAGAATGAGGCTCTCCACTACCTGTTGTTCCTGCAGTGATGATTCACCATCTTCATCGAATGTTTTCATAATGTATCTGCAGGTGATCTCCAAAAAGACTAGGCCTATCAGTATCCAATGCAAATTAGGGAACCAAATCAACGGCTCTCTCAGCGATGCGATTCGGTAGGCTACACTGACTGACGAGACGAGAGTCACTCACTTTATCGTCACTGTCTGGCAAGCCCCGACATCCTAGGAAATCCTTTGGTTTACTTGTCCCGATGCGATGCCATGGACATATAACAACTACATTGTATGATCTATGAATGGCAAAGGGATATAGGAGATTGACTTTATTCAGGCAGTTAGACACCTTTTATAAACTAGTCAACACTTGCTGTTCGGTTGTCAATAAAACACACAGTAAATAGTCTACTATACACCACGACTCCGTGGCTGGTTATAGAAAATAAATGAACGTGTCAGAAAACAATAATTAGGGTAAGAGGATTGACTCATCGTTACCACTTACATTAAATGGGACGTGCAAATTCACTAGCGTCATGCTCGCGCTCCTTCGTTTAGCTTGAATTCAACTAATTGGTTTTGAGCCAGGTGTGGTTGTATTGAGCTGGTACAAAAAATGAGAGTTGAGAAATGTTGCTGATCAACTCAACGGACAACTAAAGCATAACTGTAAACTTCTCTCATTATGGGTTCTTATCCTCTCTCTCTGCAGAGTAAGATCATCCGTGTTCTCAACCTGTGGCAGAAGAACGCTGTGTTTGAGATGGACATCGTCCAGCCCCTGTTGGACATGGCTACTGGCTCCTTAGTCCCTGATCCCTCCCCCCAGGAGGATCTCCAGACCCAGCCCCCGGTCTCCAGTACCTCCATAGCTGCAGTTCACCTCCAGGCCCAGCCCCCGGTCTCCAGTACCTCTATAGCTGCAGTTCACCTCCAGGCCCAGCCCCCGGTCTCCAGTACCTCCATAGCTGCAGCCCTGCCCCAGCTTCCCCCGCAGCTCCAGAACCCCGAGGCCCTGGCTGCCGTGGCCCAGCTCTTCCAGTCCGGACAGGGACACGAGGTGAGTGAGAGCCGTAGAAGGAAAGAATGCATCGCTGTACCAAGTCAGTCCGTGGTGAGCGTACCCATGGAGATCCTGTATTCTAATTCTATGAGAGTTACCCATGGGGTTACCTGTCAGATTGCCATGGTTAGAGGTTCTATTCCAGTTCTACTCGTCTGTTGTTATAGCGACACACTTACACACTACTAGCTCATACACCCCACAACAACATATGACTGGGACAGAACATTCAAATTAAATGGGTCTTGTATCCTCTTCACTGTTGCTCTTTCTTGACCAGTCATTTGGTTCTTTACTGTAAACTATGTAGTTCTTCTGAATAAAGTTCTATACCAGGCTAATAAAGAATTAAATACATGATATTATCTTGCTTGTCACCCAGGTAGTAACTGATTTGATGGATTGAGTGTAATTGGGCTCTATTCCTTCCTGTCTGTGTCCAGCTTCAGAAGATGCTCCAGAGATTCCAACCAGGGCAGCAGACCCCTCCTATGGTTCCCAACGCCATGGCTGACCAGACCCCTCCTGTGGTTCCCAACGCCATGGCTGACCAGACCCCTCCTATGGTTCCCAACGCCATGGCTGACCAGACCCCTCCTGTGGTTCCCAACGCCACGGCTGACCACCCACAGATGGTCCAAGGCCAGCATAACTCACACCATCCACTGTTCAACACACACCACACGCAGCCTACGGAGCAAAATAACTCACTAGCTAAGGTAATGCATTATTATTGTACGCAAAGCACATTTCTGACCAACAGATAATTTTGAGGCCTAATATTATAACAGGACAGCTCTTCCGTGGTTTTCATAAAGCCTCCGTGAACGGGATGGTCAGTGGTCCGTCAGGGATATTAAGTAAGCTCTTGAGTGATTGTTATGGATGTGTCACTAAATCAGGGTTTTGTGATGTATGGATGTGTAGCTACACTGAACGAAAAATATAAATGCAACGTTCTACAATTTCAGTTACAGTTCATATAAGGAAATCAGTCAATTGAAATAAATAAATTAGGCCCTAATCTATGGATTTCACATGACTGGGAATACAGATATGCATACCTTAAAAAAAAAAAAAAAAAGTAGGTGGCGTGGATCAGGAAACCAGTCAGTGTCTGGTGTGACCACCATTTGCCTCATGCAGCGTGACATCTCCTTCGCATAGAGTTGATCAGGCTGTTGATTGTGGCCTGTGGAATGTTGGCCTGTGGAATGTTGTCCCACTCTTTTAATGACTGTGCGAAGTTGCTGGATATTGTCTGGAACTGGAACATGCTGTCGTACACGTCGATCCAGAGCATCCCAAACATGCTCAATGGGTGACAAGTCTGGTGAGTATGCAGGCCATGGAAGAACTGGGACATTTTCAGCTTCCAGGAATTGTGTATAGATCCTTGCGACATTGGGCTGTGCATTATCGTACTGAAACATGAGGTGATGGCGGTGGATGAATGGCAATACAATAGGCCTCAGGATCTCGTCACGGTATCTCTGGGCATTCAAATTGCTATAGATAAAATGCAATTGTGTTCATTTTCCGTAGCTTATGCCTCTGCCAATACCATAACCCCACCGCCACCATTGGGCATTTGCTCACTGAAGTCAGTTACGACGCCGAACTGCAGTCAGGTCAAGACCCTCGTGAGGACGACGAGCACGCAGATGAGCTTCCCTGAGACGGTTTCTGATAGTTTGTGCAGAAATTCTTCAGTTGTGCAAACCCACAGTTTCATCAGCTGTCCAGGTGGCTGGTCTCAGACGATCCCGCAGGTGTAGGAGCCGGATGTGGAGGTCCTGGACTGGCGTGGTTACACGTGGTTGTGAGGCCAGTTGGATGTACTGCTAAATTCTCTAAAACAACGTTTGAGGTGGCTTATGGTAGAGAAATTAACATTAAATTATCTGGCAACAGCTCTGGTGGACATTCCTGCACTCAGCATGCCAATTGCACGCTCCCTCAACTTGTGACAAAACTGCACATTTTTGGAGTGGACTTTTATTGTCCCCAGCACAAGGTGCACCTGTGTAATGATCATGCTGTTTAATGCCACACCTGTCAGGTGGATGGATTATCTTGGCAAAGGAGAAATGCTCACTAACAGTGATGGAAACAAATTTGTACACAATTTCAAAAATGCCTGCTGTCTTTTTCAGCTCATGAGACCAACACTTTACATGTTGCGTTTTATATTTCTGTTCAGTATAAATCATGGCAATCTGATTGTTATGCCGGTCTGTCTTCAGAAACTCCTGGACCGCTTTGATTACGACGACGAACCAGAAGAGGTGAAGAAAGAGGAGATGGATTCCCTTGTTCCAGGAAACGTGTACGGTGACCAGTTTCCTGGTCAAATGCAGCCCAACATGGAGCGGCAGTTTCAGGACCTTATGATGGGCCAGCCTGGGAGGCAGCAGACACCTGATGGAGGATACCATGGTCTGAACAAGGGCTACAGCCAGAGTCAGCACACTGCCCAGCAGAACCAGGACCAGGACCAGGGAAAGTCCAGAGAAAGAGAAGATCCGTCTGGGTGGAGGGATGGGAGGGAGGGGAGGCAGCGCGGCCACGGCAGGAGGTCACGCTCCAGGTCTGGCTCTCGGTAAGAAGCTGGACCCATGGTTGATATTGGTTGGTGATGTTTAGGACACTTGACAAACTGTAAGAGCAAAGTTGATTTGTTTAGGATGAACAGGTCCTCTGTTAGGGAGCCCTGCCTGTTCCCACCTTTTTACCTTGGCTTTTAGTCCATGATTGTACTGTTATTTTAATCACCCTTTATTGCTTCTATATCCGTTTGCTTTTACGTATTTCATTTGATTGTTTTGCTGTGAAGTACGTTGCGATTTTTAAATGTACTTGATCTCTCTCTCTCCAGATCTCCCAGGAGAAAGAGATCCAGGTCCAGTTCTCGCTCCCGGAAGTCCCGACACTCCTCCCGGCGCTCCGGGTCTCGTTCCAGGGAAAGTCGCTGGAACTCCCCTCGCTCCCGCTCGCAGGAGAGGAAGGAGAGAGAGAAGGAGAAGGAACGCAGACAGAAAGGTCTGCCCAGCATCAAGAGCCAGACGCTCAGTGGTACGTACTGTCAGATACACTCAAGGACTGCGTCCCAAATTACATTTACATTACATTTACATTACATTTACATTACATTTTAGTCATTTAACAGACGCTCTTATCCAGAGCGACTTACAGGAGCAATTAGGGTTAAGTGCCTTGCTCAAGGGCACATCGATGGCACCCTATTCTCTACTATTATTGACCAGGGCCCATATTGAATGTTTCCCTCGTTGTGTAGTTTGCACCACCACTCTGTGGGTTGGCCAGCTCGACAAGAAGACCACTCAGCAGGACGTCATGTCTTTACTAGAGGAGTTCGGACAGATCGACTCCATCAATGTAAGTATGAGGGCTGACACACATAATACTCACTGGCGCCCTATTCCCTTTAAACAGTGCACTACTTTTGACCAGGGCCTATCAGGAATAACCTCAAGGAGTGCTCTATGTAGGTACAAGGGGGATTGACCCTGAATAAGACACTTGGAACAACTTGGGTGATACCAACCTGTTTCTCCTTCCCTCCCCTCCAGATGATCCCTCCTCGGGGCTGTGCCTACATAATGATGGTTCACAGGCAGGATGCCTACAGAGCTCTACACAAACTCAGCAGAGGATCCTTCAAGGTCAACCAGAAGGCCATCAAGGTACGTTTTTTTGATTTATTTACGTTAAACCAACCCCTTTTTTTCTTCTTCTTTTTTGCCAGGCCAGTCTGTCAATGAAACATTCTGATTTCCAATGACGACCTGGTAAATATGGAGCCTCGGGGAGATTGTTCAGGGCTCAAAACTGCGACCAAAACACTCCCTGTGACTTGGCGGTGCGACACCAATTTCTTTATTGGTTGCTAGGGTGCCAGTGAAAAAATTTTAGCTTGTCACGTTAGTTTTTGGTTCGCAATTTTTATTTTTTTATTATCAAGATTTATTCAAACAGCAATGGGTATGCAACATTGGTTATGCAAACCAGGTATTCAAAAAGTTTGGTCCGAACTCTTGGTTGAATCTTTGCTGCCTGTGTGGAGTCGCTAGGGCAACAGCCTGCCTGTGTCTAATGTGGAGTCGCTAGGGCAACGGCCTGTCTGTGTGGAGTCGCTAGGACAACGGCCTGCCTGTGTGGAGTCGCTAGGGCAACGGCCTGCCTGTGTCTAATGTGGAGTCGCTAGGGCAACAGCCTGCCTGTGTCTAATGTGGAGTCGCTAGGGCAACAGCCTGCCTGTGTCTAATGTGGAGTCGCTAGGGCAACAGCCTGCCTGTGTCTAATGTGGAGTCGCTAGGGCAACAGCCTGCCTGTGTCTAATGTGGAGTCGCTAGGGCAACAGCCTGCCTGTGTCTAATGTGGAGTCGCTAGGGCAACAGCCTGCCTTTGTCTAATGTGGAGTCGCTAGGGCAACAGCCTGCCTGTGTCTAATGTGGAGTCGCTAGGGCAACAGCCTGCCTGTGTCTAATGTGGAGTCGCTAGGGCAACAGCCTGCCTGTGTCTATGTGGAGTCGCTAGGGCAACAGCCTGCCTGTGTCTATGTGGAGTCGCTAGGGCAACGGCCTGCCTGTGTCTATGTGGAGTCGCTAGGGCAACGGCCTGCCTGTGTCTATGTGGAGTCGCTAGGGCAACGGCCTGCCTGTGTCTATGTGGAGTCGCTAGGGCAACGGCCTGCCTGTGTCTACGGTCAGTCTGCTTTTAACCTCATAGTCATTGTAATCCAGTTCTGGAGGACAGAGCCAAAACAATATCAATTGTGTCACTGACCCAATACTTTTGGAGCTCACTGCAACTCATCCAAAGGGCTTTGACTTCTCAAACACGGCAGAAAGCCAACACTAGATGATGCCCCGTCTCTTATTAAATCAGACACTTACTGAGAGAACTAGCAAGTTACACCAAATACACATCTGGTCTCACCAGCTCCCGCTTTCTCCTGTTGTGTTATTTATAAACAAACGTGACTGGCGCAACGGTTCTGGGGACCTAGGGTAAGCTTTGAAATGGAAAATCATCTGAAACGTGAAATAAAGCAGATCTCATTCTTCATCTTCTAACGTATTGCACAAGTTGACTGCAGGTATTTACTTAAAGTAGCTACGAATATTAAAATGTATTAAAAATAAGAATTGTTTTGCCGGTATTGAAAAACCATCCTGTGGCTATTTCCAAATACCCCAGTATGCGGTATAGCTATAGGTAGCTATAGGTAGGTATAGGAATTGGTAGGTATAGGAATTGGTAGGTATAGGAATTGGTAGGTATAGGTAGGTATAGATATACAGTGGGGGAAAAAAGTATTTAGTCAGCCACCAATTGTGCAAGTTCTCCCACTTAAAAAGATGAGGCCTGTAATTTTCATCATAGGTACACGTCAACTATGACAGACAAAATGAGAAAAAAAATTCCAGAAAATCACATTGTAGGATTTTGAATGAATTTATTTGCAAATTATGGTGGAAAATAAATATTTGGTCAATAACAAAAGTTGATCAATACTTTGTTATATACCCTTTGTTGGCAATGACACAGGTCAAACGTTTTCTGTAAGTCTTCACAAGGTTTTCACACACTGTTGCTGGTATTTTGGCCCATTCCTCCATGCAGATCTCCTCTAGAGCAGTGATGTTTTGTGGCTGTCGCTGGGCAACACGGACTTTCAACTCCCTCCAAAGATTTTCTATGGGGTTGAGATCTGGAGACTGGCTAGGCCACTCCAGGACCTTGAAATGCTTCTTACGAAGCCACTCCTTCGTTGCCCGGGCGGTGTGTTTGGGATCATTGTCATGCTGAAAGACCCAGCCACGTTTCATCTTCAATGCCCTTGCTTATGGAAGGAGGTTTTCACTCAAAATCTCACGATACATGGCCCCATTCATTCTTTCTTTTACACGGATCAGTCGTCCTGGTCCCTTTGCAGAAAAACAGCCCCAAAGCATGATGTTTCCACCCCCATGCTTCACAGTAGGTATGGTGTTCTTTGGATGCAACTCAGCATTCTTTGTCCTCCAAACACGACGAGTTGAGTTTTTACCAAAAAGTTATATTTTGGTTTTATCTGACCATATGACATTCTCCCAATCCTCTTCTGGATCATCCAAATGCACTCTAGCAAACTTCAGACGGGCCTGGACATGTACTGGCTTAAGCAGGGGGACACGTCTGGCACTGCAGGATTTGAGTCCCTGGAGGCGTAGTGTGTTACTGATGGTAGGCTTTGTTACTTTGGTCCCAGCTCTCTGCAGGTCATTCACTAGGTCCCCCCGTGTGGTTCTGGGTTTTTTGCTCACCGTTCTTGTGATCATTTTGACCCCACGGGGTGAGATCTTGCGTGGAGCCCCAGATCGAGGGAGATTATCAGTGGTCTTGTATGTCTTCCATTTCCTAATAATTGCTCCCACAGTTGATTTCTTCAAACCAAGCTGCTTACCTATTGCAGATTCAGTCTTCCCAGCCTGGTGCAGGTCTACAATTTTGTTTCTGGTGTCCTTTGACAGCTCTTTGGTCTTGGCCATAGTGGAGTTTGGAGTGTGACTGTTTGAGGTTGTGGACAGGTGACTTTTATACTGATAACAAGTTCAAACAGGTTCCATTAATATAGGTAACGAGTGGAGGACAGAGGAGCCTCTTAAAGAAGAAGTTACAGGTCTGTGAGAGCCAGAAATCTTGCTTGTTTGTAGGTGACCAAATACTTATTTTCCACCATAATTTGCAAATAAATTCATTAAAAATCCTACAATGTGATTTTCTGGATTTTTATTTCTCAATTTTTCTGTCATAGTTGACGTGTACCTATGATGGAAATTACAGGCCTCATCTTTTTAAGTGGGAGAACTTGCACAATTGGTGGCTGACTAAATACTTTTTTCCCCCACTGTAGGTAGGTATAGGTAGGTATAGCTATAGGTAGGTATAGCTATAGGTAGGTATAGATATAGGTAGGTATAGCTATAGGTACCCAAGCCGACATTACATCCTTCCTTACCTTTTGTTGTGGCAACGCTACCTTCAAATTGGCCGTAAATATCACAGTAGCCAGTAAGCACAAACTATTCAACAATGACCAACTTTTCTTCTAAAACATATTACTCTATTGAATAATGCAACAATTCACGAGCATGTATGTGCAGACAATTTTAAAGGCTTTATTTTGTCGTCTGTAATCTACACTCATTACAAACAGCATGTCTTCAAGTAATGTTAGCCTATCAAAAATGAGTTGGTCTGTGCTTCAGTCTGATCAACTGGAGCCTACTGATAACCACAGCCAGAGCCTAGTGGTCTACCAACCACTGTGGCAGGTAGATCAATTCTACCAGTCATTCAGATTTATTTTTTTTACCAGCGAAAATATTTTTCCCGACCATCTATTACACCAAAAAACATTCAACAAAATGGATGAGCATGCTTAATGTTTCTAAAACAAGGAATGTATTTCTATTAAGAAGTAATGTGGTATATTGCTCAATTTAATTTAATATTTTTTGGCCTGAGTCTTTAAACCAAAATATCACAGATGAGACAAATGTTCAGCTGCCCCTTTAAGGTTACCTTGGTAACGGGGCCACTCCAGTCTTCCTGTGAGAATCTCACTAGAGAGGACGACTTCATCCTCTTCTCTTAGCTTGCAGTGGAAGCAAACTCAAACATTGAATAACAACCTAACTTGTGAACAAAACATTGTAAATATCCAAGAAACACAAGGATAAAGTCTTGCTTTAGTAGTTATATCAACTTTTATGCCTGTGCGCATTGCTTCTAAAAACAAATATTTTAGCACTTCACTCACAGGCAGTGTTGCTGCACGAGGTGGGATAGCTATAACGTTAGGATTCATATTTCTTTGTGCATTACCAGATATGAAACAAAATGGCAGAAATACTTTGAAAACAGCAATTGCATTTATTTTTGCTATAAATCACTACTTGCACGTGCCCATATTTTAACTTTGAACTATTTGTATGAAATGCTTGCACTGTACATTTTACATTTTAGTCATTTAGCAGACGCTCTTATCCAGATGTACTTACAGTTTTAGTGAGTGCATACATTTTTCATAATGGCCCCCCGTGGGAATCGAACCCACAACCCTGGCGTTGCAAGCGCCATGCTCTACCAACTGAGCTACAGGGGACTGTAGAGGCCTGTGTGTGACCACACGCCAACGTGGCTGGTGAATTAGACATGCCAAAATCTACCCGCATAAGGCTTCTGTTAATTTTAGGCCCTGACCACAGCTGCAGGTAGCTTAGAGCAGTGTTTCCCAACCCTGGTCCTCCAGTATCCCCAACAGTGTTTCTGGGATGGAGGACCCGGGTTGGAAACCGGTGATCCAGGGTTGGGAAAACCCACTGTTGGGGATAATGGAGGACCAGGGTTGGGGAAAACACTGTTGGGGGTACAGGAGGGACCAGGGCAGGGTTGGGGTTACAGGAGGACCAGGGTTGGGAAACACTGTTGGGGGTACAGGAGGACCAGGGTTGGGAAACACTGCTGGGGGGTACTGGAGGACCAGGGTTGGGGATACAGGAGGACCAGGGTTGGGAAACACTGTTGGGGGTACAGGAGGACCAGGGTTGGGGTTACAGGAGGACCAGGGTTGGGAAACACTGTTGGGGGTACAGGAGGACCAGGGTTGGGAAACACTGTTGGGGGGTACTGGAGG